ACACCCCAASCCCCCCCAAAAAAATCCTGTGGTCAAATAAAAATCAACCTTTCTTTAGATTAATGTTTCTAAAATATATTTAACCTGACCCCTTTCAAAGAACCAGTGTTGGTAACCTCTGCCTTAAGCTTTTAGTAACTAACATCTGAAAGACCCACAACTGGTAATAAGGACCTGGACTGGAACAAGTTGGTCCACAGCCTCGGGGAGAAAAAAAGTAAAATTAAAGAACATCACAAACATTCACCACCCTTTCTAGGAAGAGGGGGGGCGGGAATCAAAGACGATGATAAGATAGAGTTCTAGTCCAGAAATCCATTTACAGTTGAGAAGAAAATAATCACAAATAAATACTAAGAAAATATAATGAAGAATACCTAACCCAACCTTGGTAGCAGAGAGAAACAGGGGCACAAAGTGGCTAACAAGGTTTCCTGAGAAAGAAAAGTCTGAGACTTACCTCACAACAGGAATTAGATAGAGGTTGGAGAATAGCATTCAACACAAAGGGAGCTTCAAAGGAAAAGACACTGAGAGATGCAAATCAAATCTCCCTAAAATACCATTTTTCACCTACTGGGTTAGTAAAGATTCCAAAATTTGATAAACAGTTTATGAAAACACAGGTACCCTCACACATTGCTGATTAAAGTAAACTGGTATAATCTTTTAAGGCAATTTGGCAATACTTATTAAATTTTCATATGCTTATGCCTTTTGACTCAGCAATTCCACTTTTAGGTATTTATCTTAGAGCTTGATTTACACACATATAAACACAAATTTTATTCACTGAAGAATGTATTTAATAGAAGGTCAAATCAATTGAAGTGTTAAATAATGTGCACATAATGGAATAACATGAAATAGACACTATTAAAGAATGAGAGTGTTCTTTATGCCAATCTCCACAAATACCATTAAGCTAAAAAAAGTGAAGAGTACTTTAAGTAGTATGTTATCATTGAGTAAAAAGGGATGGGGTAAAGAATGTTTCCACTGCTGATGTGTATATACAGACTATTTCTATAAGGAAACAGAAGAAACTGATGTTAGTTGCAGGGACCAAAACCGAATGACAGATGACAAAAGAAAGTCTTTATTGAATAATATTCTGTATCTTTTACATTTTGAGCCATTTTAATGTGCTACTGATCCATAAATAAATTATATCAGCATGACATCTAATGGAAATTAAAACTGTTTAAAATTGCCAAAATATAAAATTCAAGACAAGTGATCAGAAATGAAGCTCACGAGGCTGACAGACACCCCAGTCCAGGAAGGAATCATTGTTGAAACTACAACAGTGTTTCTCAAAGTGTGAGCAGGGAGCCACTTACAAACCTGGGGAGCTGGTTAAAAAACACAGAACCAGGGAATTAGACCAAAGAATTAGAAATGTTAAGGGTGTGGTTCAGAGAAACAGTCTGGGAATTCTCCACCAGTCAAATCAAAATCTTGTGGGCTAACATTCAAACATCTGCACTTTAACAAGTTCCTTAGGTGACAAAAGGTTATAGAGCTGCTGAGGAGTTGTAAGCAGAAGAGCTAAGTGACCAGATGTTCAGTTTTAGATAGACCACTTTGGTGCCTGGGTCTGGAAGATTTGAGAGGAGCAAACTTCAGTTAGAAAGAAGGGTCTGGCAGTACTCCAAATGATGTTCTTTAATTTGATAAATATTCACACTGTATACAATACACTTACTGCATACCACGTGGCAAAAGTATTATCTGCCTTAGAGCTACAACCTAAGTGCATGGTCTTTTTCAGGAAACAAAGAAAACAAATCCAAGGCACTGCACCTCCCAAATCAGTTAAGAAGGCAATAAATAGGAATAATTTATATACAATAATAGAGGTGCTATTAAATGAAATTATTCTATTCCATTATTAATTTTATTTAAAAACCTAAAACTAAAAGGGGGAACTATTAAAGTTGCCTCTAAAATAATGAGACTTAGAATGAAGTTGATGAACTGATTCCTTATTTGATATATACAAAAAGACATGGGCTGGGGCTGTAGCTCAGTGGCAGAGCACTGGGTTCAATCCTCAGCACTGCATACAAACAAAAAAATAAGGCATGCTGTCCATACACAACTACAAAAAAAAATTAAAGCAATTTAAATCAAATTTTTTCTTTGGCCAATTAGATATGTTTCTGGTATCAAAACCCTTTCCAAATTAGTTCTGTTTCATCTAAAGATATAATTTGTGATTATCGCGGAACCTGATTAATAAAAGTTTCACATCTACCAACATCTACATCTCTCATAACACAAATAAATTGTAGTAATAGATTCATTGATTGTTGCAAAGTMATGAGACAAGAGAGGTAAAATCCTTGACTAAAAATTCGTTCAATCAATAGGCAGAAAAGCAAGACTCAGAAATATAAAGCAGTATAAAAGAGTAACTGAAAGTCAAAAGTTTAACCCAGCTTGAAGGACATAATCCTGTTCCCTCTACAGGTTTTATCAACTAAAAAGATATTTCCTCTAATTGCTTATTTCTACAAAGTTAGAAACCCAGGAGGCTTGGGGTATAAAAGTACACAGGCACTCTGACTTTCATCTGCCATTTGCATTTTAACAAGTACTCTAATAGAGATCTATTTTACATTAAAAAAAAAAAAAAGAGAGAGTATGTTTTGATACAGAATCAAGTTACTGTGACTCCTGCCAGAAGAGTATTTGGCCATTTCTTTAATATTCAATTCACATAATTAATATACCTTAACAATCCACCCCAACAATACAGCAAACAACAWTTATGTTCTTATCATGTCTATTAAGAATTCCATGTTAACCTCACACAGCCCAGTATTCTTTGGCCTGTTCTGTTCCTGACTTCTGATCTGAGCTACATCTAATGTTACTGCATTGTTGAATATTAGCCTTAATATGAATATAAAATAATTTATTATTAGTTAGGAACTAATCCAATAAAATTATAACATCATCATCAACAAAAACTATTCCAGGGCCTGACGATTACAAAACTGTATTTTATGGTCCATTAGTTATACTTCAAAGCTTTCTTTTTCAAAACAGAATTACCTAGCAATAGACAAATATTTACCTATCAGCGATTTCCACATTCAGAGAGGGTACACTGGTAGTTTGCTTTTTAAAAGACTTAACTGATTTCTCTACATAGTTTTTATTAGTAGCAATCTTGTTCAGAAGTCCAAGAGTTCATCCCAATTCAGATGCCGCCTATTTTCCTGAAGCCTTGAAAAATGTTAGCACTAGAAAGGACCTTGGAGGCTATCTACTCCAATACTAACATTTCTTCTACAGAATACTGAAAGCTGAAAATACTAAACAAAGTGTATCATTTTCACCCAGAAGTTAAAAATAGGAAGTTAACCACACAGAAGCAGAGCCTAGARCTCCTGACCCCCAAACCCCCACTGTTTGATTATGCCCATTGAGTGTATTACTTCAATTCTTTCTTTTTGGGGTGTTTTGTTGTTGTTGTTGTTGTTTTAGTGTACTACTTTAACTTGGACAAAAATTCTATTAAAACACTTATGCATTCATGACATTTAAGTTTCTAAAAGGTGAACCTTGCTAAATTAGGAATACTATCCAAAAGACACACCCCTTTCCCAAAATAGAAACAATGTACTTTCATCTGACTTTACCATTCCCTACCTCATTCCAATTTCAATCTCTTAACACAAACTCAACTACCCTAGTCTCCTCTTCACTGTTGATTTTATTCTTTAAATGCTCCAGGTGTTTTATATAAACTGCTACCTTCAAACATTTAGAAAATAAATCTGCCCCTAAATTTCCATCAGGTGAATGAAGGAGTCCTCTTGGATTAACCCATCCAAGAAGATTTAGTACTTAAGCAAAGATTCACAGTTGCATTTTGATGTCTACAAAATGACTATGCTGAAGATTACAAAGAAAACCAGGTGTTTAGAACAGGCGGCCTACTAGAGTATTAAACTCGTAACAATTAAATGCAGTTAGTTTTAAAGCCTTTGATGCACAGATCTCTAAAAGATTTTTCAGGACATATTGGTCTTGGCAGTATGAGTCACTCTCCATTTCCAAAAGCTGGTGAATACGGACATGGAATCAAAAATTTTCAAAAGGGGGGGCGGGGGAGGTAGCAGTGCCCATCGCAGTGTTCTACCCCTTGTATTTATATACTTCGTAAAGATATTAATATACTAAATATAGTCTACTGTGGAGGCATGACATTAGAGACATGGGCTTTTTTATTTCACGTTACCCGAGCTACTTGCTCCTTTTACTTCCTAACTTTTCCACTTAAAAACATATATTCAAGTCTTATCTCCTCCTTGGCCCTTCCCAACACCAGACACCCGTGCTTTGAAAACAACTAAGACCCCTGTCTAACAGCCACCATTCCAGCATGTTAAAAGCGGGCTTTCCCAGAGTGTCCCAGGCCCGGGCGGGCTGGCAAAGTAAAAGGGGGTGTGTCCGCAGTACCTTCGCCCTCTTTTCCGCAGCCCACTAGGGCGCTCAGAGGCCCACTTTCTCGCAGAGGCTTCGGGAGCTGTTTCCAGGGCGCCCGGATCTCAAGCCACCCACCCACCTTTCTGGGGGCTGGAGTTGCTTTTCACCTCAAGGGGATGACAGTAGCTTTTCACCTCAAGGGGAGGGCACAAGTGAACCCCCAAGCTCCTCTCTACGGAGCCACACAGTAGCCCCTTTYCCCAAAATAAGGCAGCCTCGGCCCCCCTGCCTGGAGGTCTCTGCGCTCGCCCGGACGCGTCCCCTCGCCCATCCCATCCAAACCCCACACGCGAGCGCGGGGAGTTCACAGGCGAAGCCAGAGCGAGTGAAGGACAGCGAGAGGCACGCGGGGCGCCAGGGGTGCCCTGGGAAGAAAAGTCGTCCCAAGAGTTGCCCCCGCCCCCCAAGGGACGCAGCCACCCACCAAAGCCCAGGCTCAGCCGGGGAGCGACTTGGGGCTGGGAAGAGTCAAAACSGCGGGGGCCGCGGCGACCCACCAGCTGCTTCAGGTCCTCTTCCGAGAGCTCCGCGTAGCGGTACCGCTGCTGCTCGAACTCGTACCGGGTGGTTTTGGCCACCACCACCACCCGCGAGGGGCGGAAGCCGCCTTCCGGACGGCTGCCACAGCCCGCCAGCTCGCGCGGCTGCCCGTGCCCTAGGTGCCTCCGGTCGCCGTCACCGCCAAGCCGGGGCCGCGCGGCAGGGCCTCCCGCGCCTGACCCACGCAGCGCCGCCCGGCCGCCCGCCACGCGACGACAGCTGCCCAGCAGGAAGCCCCGGTAGCAAGTCATCGTCTGCCCGGCCGCGGCKGCAGGCTCGGGCTCCTGCCTGCGCACCCCGCCTCCAGGAGTGCGCGCAGACCGCACCGCCCCGGCCTTTAACTTAGCGCCGGACTGGCAGAGGTTAAGCGCAGGGACGTGCGTGGCCCGCGCCGCGAGGGGGACGTGCCCAGACGTGGCCGCGGGCGGGGAAAGCGGCGCGACTGGGAGGAGGGTGAATCCCCGCCGGGGACAGGTGGGCGGGGAAGAGCGGGAGGCCCCAGGCTGGTGGGTTTTGTTTGTTTATCCGTTTCCATTGACGCCTGCGCAGTGACCTCTTCTCCCGCGGCCCTCCCTCCCGCCACGCCCCCTTTCCTGCCGTCGCTCTTCGCCCACCCCAGGCTTACTCTGTCAGCCAATCAGAGCCCGCTGCGGTGTCAGCGCCCGAGGGGCTGCGAAGATTGGTCGGGGCCGGGAAAAGAGGGGGAATTCTATTTGGCGTTCGAGCTGTCTCCAGAAATCCAGCTGGAACCGGTCTGAGGCGGCAAGGGGGCTGCGGGCGGGGTTTTAAGCGCCTGGCGGGAAAGCAGGCTCCGTTTTGTTGTGGTTCTTTCCTTATGCTGATCCCAGTAGACCCTACGCTCTCGGTGCATTGTAACCATTGCTTGTTGGATAGCTGAAGTGTCCAACCCAGGGCCAGCTGACAATTTGCGGCGGGCTGTAGTGTAAAAGGAAGATGCCGAGCCTTTAGTTCAGAAGGCATAACGGCTGTCAAGAGGACTTCAGAGCATTAAGCCGGGCTTGGAGTCCTAAGCGTGGGGCCCTCTGCCTGCCCTGCTGGCCACCAGAGCCATCGGCCAGGGGAGAGAAAGGTCGCACCCTCAGAGGAAGTTGGAGGTAGAGGTAGAGGCATCAGGCCGTCTGGAACACGTCTAGATGAGGGGAGAGGGTTGAAAAACTAGATGGGACAAGAATGAAGGGTTAACAGTAAGTTGGACTTTATCCTGTAGGCTTTGAAAGCTTCTAACTGAAAAAGAGTTGAAAGCAATGTTTGGTGACTATTGATCTGGCTTTGGAATGTTGAATAGACAGGGATGCCAGGGGAGGGAAGGAGGCTGTTGGAATAGTTACAGGGGGAAAGATAAAGACTCAGGTTAATGGGAGTAATGGGAGGGCTGTGGATACAGCTCAGTTGGTAGAGTGCTTGCCTCACATGCATTAAGGCCCTGGGTTCAATCCCTAGCACTACCAAAAAAAAAAAAAAAAAAAAAAAAAAGGAATAGAAGGGAAAGGTCATATTCTAAGGAAAGAATCAAGTGTTAGGGGCATCCTAGTGTTTAATACCTTCTGCTCAGTAGATCTTCTTGCTTTGACACTTTCTTTCTACACTTTGTAGCCCTCAGACTACCCAGTAAATACCTTTTGACTTTGGGCAGGTTATACTTCATCTTCCTGGGCCTCAAATTCCTCCACTGTAAACTGAGATTAAAGTGGTGATTATAAGGTTCTACCAAGCTCACATTGACTCAGTGAATCTTGTATTTCTGAGCTAGCCACCAGCACTGGYACTCATTAACTGGTTCATTGTATTTTTCCAGTACCTCCTGTGTGCCAGGTAGCATATTAGACTGGGAACATAAATAATTTAGTCTGATAGGTGTTTACTTCTAAAATTTTTGTCACTGACTCCTTCTCATTAGTACTTTAACAACCTTAAAATAACTTATTAACTTCTGTGGCAGGTAACTTACCTGTAACTTGAATATCCTCAGGATCCTTCCTATTCTAACACATCATAATTCATTAGCTATTAGGAAGAGAGAAATCACAGATGACACTGAATTTTGAAGCCCAGGTGAATGTTAGTTAATCCGTTTGACAAAAAAAATGAAGTAGGAGAACCTGTTTAAGATCAAAGTTATGAGTTTTGTTGGGCATACGTGAATTTCAGAACTCTTTCTTTTCCACTTCACAAATAAAGACATTTTTGATCCTCTTCCATTTGACGATACAAGTATAATACACATTGACATCTTCTCAGGATGTCCCTTTGTCCATTATTATGTTGGGTCCCTTCTCCTTGAAAACTGTTTCCTTAAGTTATCCTCTCCCATGTATCTTGAGTTCTCCCTCCTTACTGGATTTTCCCCTTCAGTACTTAAACATGCTCATGTCTATTACAACATTAAAATTTTAAAGAAGTTTATAAGCCCTAGTTTTTACTTACTTCCTATGTTCCTGTTGCTGCAGCAAAGATTTTTTGGAAGAGTATCTCCTCATCAGTCATTGCCACATCCCTCCTATTTTTCAGCCCTCAACTGGTCAATGATCAAGAGTCCCACTACTTCACTAATTACTGCCATTTCAAAGGTTACCAAATGATGTGACTGAACTCAAGACATTTTCCAGTCCTTAAATTACTTGATCTTTCTGCAGAATTTGAAATGGGCTATCAGTTTTTCTCTGGTCTTTTATTATGTCTCCCAGTATATCAGTCCCTAATGGTATTTCTTCCATCTCTTTTCCCTTTTTGAATTTTTCCTAAACCCATCTCCACAATCTATCTTCTGTCCTTGTTTCTTTTCTCCCTCTTTCTCATATTCCCTTGCTAGCCCCCTCCACTCCTGAATGAACTCCTCCAGTGTTGTGCAATGAAAAGAGCTCAGGCCTTGAAAGGCCTTGGTTCAAATCCCAGCTTTAACATTTATTAGCTTTGTGAACTTTGAACTGGTTGTTTAACTTTTCTGGGCCTACTTTTTCATTTATAAAACATAATAGCTACCTCAGAAAGTTGTAGATATATGCACAAATACCTAGCCCTGTGTCCATTAAAAAGTAAACATTGGCAAATATTTACCCCTTTTCCCTTTCCTGACTTCATCTTCTCCAACAACTTTAGCCCGTATTTTTCTCTTGGGCTTCAAATCCTCTTTCTTAGCTTCCTATCAGATGATATCTCTTTTGAGTTTTATATATACAACACCTACCAGTAGAAATCTCTTGGTAAGTGCTAAAGAACCCTTCCCCTTGAGTATCCTAAAATCTATGTAATAAGAGAGTTACCCACATAGTGCTTTAGGAATTTGGAAGAACACGTCTTAATTCAGCCTAAGAAGAATTAGAGAAAGCATTCTGGAAAACCAGGAGCTAAGTACTAAAGAATGAGTGAAGCATTAGTATCAAGAGTGAGAAAGTAATTTTGCAAAAAGAAATAATATAAGCAGAGGCATACAAGTAATGAAATAGCATTTCTTAATTCCTAGAGAATTTAGAGAGGGATAAGCAACACTAGGATTCAAGCTAAAGATGGAGGAAAGACCTGGAAAGTGTTATATTCATACGTAGGAATTTGGCTTTTATCGTGTTTATGTTAGGAAACAACAAAAAGAGAAAATGACAATTTTTAGCTTTGTAAAAATTATGAAGAGTAATTTCTTAGGAGGAACACAGCAGTGAATAAATACCTGAAAAGATATTTAATGGAAAATACAAATTAAGGTCACAAGGAAATAGTGTTTTATATCCACTTGATTGATAGAAATTAAGAAATCTTAGTAATACTCTGGTTGTTAGAAAATTATATCATCAAATCCATATGAAGCTAAACATTCACCAGTCATTTCAATAATTCCTCCAATGCCAAAGTTAGTAAATATCATAGAAATTTTAAATATATTCATGTTAACTCCAACTCTGAAGTCAAAAATTAACTAATACTATAATTATAATCTGACTATTGGGGTTGGGGGGAGATTTCTGACATTCATTCATGGATCTAATATTAGTTTCATATATGCTCAAATAACTAAAAAAAATTACTGGGTACAGTGGCAAATGCCTATAATCCCAGTCACTCAGGACTCTGAGGCAGGAGGAGGGCAAGTTCAAAGCCAGCCTTAGTAATTTAGCAAGCGCCTAACCAACTTAATATCTCAAAATAAAAAATAAAAAGGGCTGCCAGTATAGCTCAGTGGTTGAGTGCCCCTGAGTTCAATCCCTGGTACAGAAAACCACTGTAATATTATTGAGTTTCAAATTTGAACCCATCTATGATGAAGCTGGTGAGTTTTTCTAGTGAATGAGAGTTTCAAACTTGAACTTCATCAATGGTAAGGTTGGTATATTTTTCTGGTAAATGAGCCTAGCCAGCCAAGTGATAACCACATTTTAAGCAAGTTTAATTGTTCTCAAAGGTTTTTTTTTTTTGGGGGGGGGGGGAGTATTATATATCATTGTGATATTCATAATTTAAAGAGTTACAGAGATCATAAGATGCATCTTTCCCAATTCCTAGAAACCGTCCATCTCATTTCATATATAGCTGACTCTACAATAAAGACAGCCTTCAATTTTCATAATCAAGGAAGACTAGTAGAGTAGAGGAAACGCACCAGGGAAAGGGAGGAGGAGAGAGAAGGGGAAATACTGGGGAATGTATTGAACCAAATTATATTGTGATATCATGTGCATGTACAAATATGTAACAACAGATCCCACTTCTATGTATAATTATAATGCACCAATAAAAATATGGAGAAAGGATGAAGATATATACCTCCCTTTTATGACATTTACATTCTCTGAGACTTTTATAGGATGTTTTCCCCTGGGGACTAAGTATTCTTGCTTCCATAGTAACAAATGTAAAATAATAATTGTTTCAAGAAAAAACATTTTAACAGCCCATAATTAAGCTTCAAGATTGGGGTAAAATCCTATTGAAAGATAAGATTTAAATTATTTTACTATAATATTTATACATAGATAACTAATATCTTTTATTCTAGTTAAGTAAATTTTAATATAAACAACCTCTGTGAAAATCCAAAATGTAGACTTTGAAGTCACATAGCTAAGTAACTTATGAAAGTGAAGACCATTGTACAATTGATCTCTTTGCATTAAAGAGGGTCAAAGAACATAGAAAGCCAAAAGAAGATGGCTAGGTGAAACACAGGACAAGGAAAAGCTATAAATTTTTTATTTCTGTCATTGAAATGGGTTGAGAAAATCATGAGCTAAACATCATTCCTGCTGTTCCTCTATATTCATTGTCCAGACACCTTCACGCCTTCTCTCTATGCCTTCCTGATATTCTAATCCTAGGTTGGTTCTCTTGCACTGGGATTTCTACATAGAGCACAAATTAGATGGTCTTTTTTTTTCCCTTTGATATATGCAGAGAAATCCAAAGAAAATGATAGAATTAATTAAACTTATATTGAAATGTTTGGGGTATTTATAAAATATTGCTTCATATCCACATTAGCATAGGGACAAAAATGATCACATCAGGAAGATGAAGAAGATTTCTGTTCTGTACTTCACTTTAACAGTTATACTGTAATCACAATATCCCCACATAGCTAAGATCTTATAAGAAAAGAGAACCAATACAATACCTTCTTCAAATGTCTCGCTGTTTATGTTGTGTTTCTAGTGAGACTCCACTGAGTGTATGCTACATCAGAATCACTCTTCTGGAGTGGGGAGGGGAGGCAGAGTAGAGGTCTAGAGAAAGTCTAAATACCTGTTTTCAATTATTTATATCCTTCTCTTCAAAGATTTATTTTCTTTTCCCTACCTTTCCTTTCTTCCTTTCCACATTAACTTTCATTTTCTGAGCCACTGTTTTTAAGTAAAGGATTTTATGCACTAAGAATGAAAGAATGAACTGACCTCTCTGAGTAGCTATACTAAGTTATAGTTACTTAGTCCTTGGTAAAGAGCAAAACTTGAAATAATTAACATATTAACCAAATCATAGTCTTTAAAGTAGTTAATTCCACTTTCATATGCTAACCTTTCAGGCATTAGCTAAGGTTAAATTTAATATTGATTAGATGGATTATATATAKAGAGAGAGATTGCTTTTATTACTATAAAAGGTAATAAAGTAATGCAACTTTCCTTCTCACATGAATATTTCTAAATGAACATTGGTCTTCAATGTAGAACTTTGTGAAGTTATAACCTTATTCCAATTATATTGTCATCATTCAAAACATTTTCAGAAATCATTTTTTAATTGTGAATCTTTGTCCTCTAATAGTGGAATTGTTTAGGGATCCTCATCAAAAGTAATTTTAAAGCCCTAGGGTAATCAAACTGTACTGAAAATGAAATATGGCTTAAGTACTAATTTTCTTGTATGGTGCATAAACTATCTCTGAAACAAATCCCAAAGAAAAGCACCAAAATCCTGTTGCACAATTGTTTGAATTTCTGTAGTCTACCATAATAATGGAATTTAGGAGAAAGACTCATTTGACTACATGTGGTACATTCATTTTAAAAATGTCTTAATACGCCACACCGACTGGAATATTAATGACAATTTAATTACATAAATAAAGCAAAGAACAAGTTAAAATTTTTTGGCTTTTTGTATACTTGCTTTTTTGATATATAGATAACTTATTATARTTTGTTCATTCATTCAACAACTATCATGTGCTGACCATGAGTCAAGCATATACAAGATACAATGGATACAAGTTCGAGAACAGAAACTTTCTGCAAAGGAATTCATGCTTGAATGTAGAAGCTTATATTGTTAGGGAATCCAAATGCCAAGTGAAAATATACATTTCCCAGAAGATAAACATGATTTAATGAAATGTTTTGCAATTATAATATTTTTAAAGAAATGAGACTGGAAATTTAGTAAAATATTTGTTTTATGGCCAGACAATGTWTGTCTGAAAAAATAAATATTTTAGTTATTTATCGAATCTAACAATTTACAACTTTAAATATGATATCCATCAATGTGATGAATAGTCCAAAGTAGCTATCCAATCCTAGTCTAAATTAACTTTCTCAAAGACAATAAATTTTGAACTTCTGAAGTCCATTTATTTCTTAAGTTCTGTCATTTTCTCCACAATAATCAAAATATAAAATGTAAAACATAAGAGACAATTTGTAATTGCAGTAAATTATATTTCTTAAACTTTTCTGTAAAAACTCTTCAAGGAATTAATAGGATCTTCTTATTTAAGATGGTTTGGTATTTTCAGGAGGATGACCAATTGTTTTATGGATGTTGTCATATTTATGGTAGGTAGTACTCATGAACAGGCAACCGACTGTCTGTTGGTCCACCTAGAAGGATCTGTGATATAAATTTGAAATATTTTATTATACAATGTTATATTTAGACCAAATTTATTATTGAATGCAACTAAACATGAATATGCTCACTGATAAGGAAATTTTAAAAATACAGATCTGTTTTATGAGTAACATTTAGAAATGTTGCTAATAATTTCAAATATGATATTTTCAGATCATTAAAATATTCCTTAATTCATGGCAACAAAGTCCAAAAAATTAGGCTTTCTATAACTTCCATAACATTTTAGCATTTGTTTGCAGTGCCTTCTGGAGAAGATACTGAAGAAGGGGAAATAATGGCAAAAGAAGGGAAGTTCATCTGATTGACATTTGCTTCACATTATTTCCATTGTTTTGCATTAAGTTAGTTACATGCCACCCTTTCCTGAGATAGAATATAAATATCAAAAATAGGTCTCATTGTTGGACACAGAATTTTGCCACGAATACCTATTTCAAATTGACATTTTTTAAATAAAAGACCATCCCATTTATTCATGCATATATTTCAGACAATATTAAACCATTTGTTTTATAGATTCATTAAAAATAGGAAAAAATTTGTATCACTTAGTTCTCTGGCTCATTGAGTCAAAAAGACTATGATCCTGATTGAATGTTTTATGTATTTTTCTTTGTATTTATGTTTAAAGTTAGGCAAAGAAAGTTTTTTTATCCAGTTCTACATGCATTCTTTGAGAAAGTGTTGTTATGTATTATTAGACAACTTTAAGATTTAAAAATTATTAAAAGTTTTAAAATGCTTATTACTACAATATCTTTGTAATTATATTACTCATTCCCCTATAAAAGAGAATTCAGGGCTAAGTGAAACTATGACTGAAAATTCTTGGATAACTTATTAGAATGAAATGTTATACGTTATACATGCATATAACAAACAAAGTCAAGCTTACTGTTCTTTGGCAATGTGTCTTTTAAAATTGATGAATTTTACTTTTAAATACACACATAAAGACAAGCACTGAAACAAAACCTAAAAATCTATTTACTGCTGCTTGCACTTTGACCTTAGTTTATTGGTGGATCCTGGCACAATAGAAGAAATAGAAGGGGTTTTTTACCCTAGGCAAAGGAAGACTTGAAGATTGATTATGTGCAACCTAGTTATCTTTACAAGTAGCAAATTTCAAAAGGAAAATAAACAGGATTTTCAGGGTTTGAAGCCAGATTTACCTCATGGCCCCGTTATGTGTATTTATAATTTCCCCTATGATAGTTGATAAGAGAATGAGAACAAATGAGAGAAATATGAATAAGTGGTTAGTTTCCAGGTAGCAACATAAATACTTAAAAATTGAAAATATTGTGATTGCTGTCGCTGCTGCTACTGCTTCTGCTTCTTCTCCTTCTCCTTCTCCTGTTTCTTTTGTTTTTGTTTTTGTTTTTGTTTTCTGGTACTGGGGATTGAACCCAGAGGTGCTTTACAACTGAGCTACATACCCAGCCCTTTTTTATTTTTTATTTTGAAACAAGGTCTCTATAAATTGGTTACGACCTTGCTAAGTTGCTGAGGCTGGCCTTGAACTTGCAAGACTACTGCTTCAACCTCCTGAGCCACTGGGATTACAGGCATGGGCCACCACACCCAATGAAAATATAGTTTGGATACAATGTGTAAGCAAGTGACATGCATGAGTCACAGTGAGGCTGACTTGGTAAAATCCTAATGAAGATGACATACAGAGGACAGGAATTTTCCAACCCGTTCCTAGAATCCAAATAGCCCRGGCTCTAACGAAAACCCACTTTAACAGATCAGTTTGTTTTTCTTTTTTAAGTCTATTTACTATCTAGGGATTGTGCTTAATATTTCCTTTTCAGACTCTTTCTTTTAAACCTCTTTTTTAATCAAAATGTAAGTTGTTTACCTGATCCACTTTTAGTAACTTGGGTGAAATCATCCTCATCCTCATCACAGCTTTCACAGCTTAATTGTTGAAGGACTGTTTCTGACTGACTTTCAGATTGATTGACATCTTTCTGAAGCTTATCAAAGCTTCGAAGTGCAACAAGACGATGATGTATGGCTGCATACAGAAATCCTGTATCTTTGACACTAGCCTGCATTAGGAACATTAAGTTAATAATACAAATCAYATACTAATGTTAGCTACATTTGATAGATTTTTAATTTTCCCTACTAATAAGGAGGAAATTGTATRGCATAAATAGAGAATGTAAATAAATGCAAACAATCCTACAAATTAAGGAATAAAAAGCCAATTAATTTTGAACCAAATTGCATCCTAAAGTGAATAATTTTATAATAGGTTCCAATTTGTACATTTTTTTCTTTTTTATGTAACTTTTTATTTATATATGACAGCAGAATGCATTGTRATTCTTGTTACACATATAGAGCACAATTTTTCATATCTCTGGTTGTATACATAGTATATTCACACCAACTCATGTTTTCATACCTGTACTTTGATAATAATGATCATCACATTCCACCATCATTAATTACCCCATGCCCACTCCCTTCTTCTCCAACCCTTCTGCCCTATCTAGAGTTTGTCTATTCCTCCCATGCTCCCTCTCTCTATCCCACYATGAATCAGCCTCCTTATATCCAAGAAAACATTTGGCATTTGGTTTTTTGGGATTGGCTAACTTCACTTCGAGTTATATTCTCTAACTCCATCCATTTACCTGCAAATGCCATGATCTTATTCTTTTATTGCTGAGTAATATGTCATTGTGTATATATGCCACATTTTTTATCCATTCATCTACCAACTTATACATTTTAAAATGAGAAAGTAGGTGCCTGGCATATGGCTCAGTTGTAGAGCTCTTGCCTAGCATGCATAAGGCCCCAGGTTCAATTCCCAGCACTGCACAAAAAAAATAGAAAAGTAAATTGAGAAAGTAAAATACTGTCATTTAAGATTTCTGTTTGAATTGAAGTCTGCTAAGGTCATTCTTCTTCCACTGTTTTAAGGGGGGAAAAAAGACTTTCATTTTCTTTCCATCACTTTGCCTAAGCACCACACCACATAGCTTGACGAAAAAAGCAAAGTTCATGAAAACCATCTATGATATTTAAAGTAAAGACATCAGCAGTTCTTGCTTTCCAGTACTTTTCTATGCTTTTTTAAATTTTTTAATCAATATTAAAATAATGGTAACAATAACATTGTACAATATTAACTACTATTCTTCTTTATTTAATTTTTACAATAATATCAGAGGGTTCATTGTTTATTCCATTATATTAGCAAAAGCAGGTATTAAAGATATTCAGTATCTACTTATTTCCTTTTTCTCCTTACAAATGAGGAAACTGTGGCTCAGAAAGGTAAAAGGACTTGTCTGAGTTACAGCTACTCAGCAGAACGCTGAAACTTGAATCCCAGGTTTTTATCATTCAGGTCACTGGGATTAATGGAATCATTTATGACACAGAATCAAACTGTTACATCTACTAAACAATTTTTGGACAACATACAACTATTTAATAGTATAAAAACGCTCATTTACATTCATGAGTGAAAAATCACAAATGTGTTTTTCATAATCATTTTAGCTATTAATTTTTCTCAAGCAGTTTTATAAAGTCCTTTATCATTTCCTTTATTTTGCACRTGAGTAAGWAAGGGTAAAGAAGTCTAAGTAACTTCCTGGAAGTCTTACAATATACAGTATGGCACATATGTATATACACATAGTTGGATTTTTTTCAAATTTTGGAATACTTKCATTTACATAATAAAAGATATCTTTGGAATGGAATCCAAGTCTAAACATGAAATCTATGTTTCACCTACACCTTCACACATAGTAGGAGGCAGTTTTATTACAATATTTTTAATGTGCCTATGTTTTGACTGGGACCCATCGMATGAGATCAGGTATGGAATTTTCTATTTACGGCAATCTATGTGGCTCMATGTTCGGGGTATTAGGAACATTTGGATTTCAAATTTTCAAATCAGGTATGCTCAATCAATGTAAATATAAACCAAAGTGTTACTAATAATCATCATCTCTGAAAACAAAAAATAAATTAAAAATAATAATCATCTCTGAGGTTGGAATTTTGAGTGATTTYTATTATATGTGGTTTGCTTATCTCTAATAAACATCCTACAATTTAAAAAGTCAGCATGGGTTAGGTATTGAGCAGCAGAGTCTTATCAGTCTCAGTTTGGGGCACACTGCTTTTCTCATTCAAAACAAGGGAGTCTKGCCTGGCAGAGTATAAAGTAGTATCTTCCTGAATGGCAAACAGGGTTCGAACATCATCTCATTCTAACATTTTAATACACAACATGACTTGCACCTGACAATACTCTTATTTATAGTTAAATTCAAAACCTTTGGGGGTTTTTGGCTTTGTTTTTAATCACTGGGCACAAACTTTTTGCTCCATTATTTTATGGAAGCCCATTTACTTGTGTTGTTACCATCTGCCTAAATCCTTTGAGTATTCAGTATTCCCCAGTTTTCTGGGTCTCAGCCCACCAGGGAAACCCAGCTTTTTTTCCCAAGAGGAGAGGGGYTTTCTTCTTGGCAGCTTTCTTGTGTCTGGATCTTGTATTTGAGGTCAAGCATTCTTCCTGCCAGGAACAGCTAAACTGTGCTCCGATCCTGTTACCTTGGAGATTGATTCATGTTCAGAATTGGAATTTGCTGTTGGATTGGTTCTTATAACTTGCTAACCCTGTATTTTTCCATTTCTCACTGGCTCCTTTCCAGTGATCCCAAAGCCTTCGTTATCTCAGCTTCCAGTATTAACACCAGGCTTCAGATTCTGCCAACCTCTTCCTGGGAGCCATAGCTGACAATATAGTCACTTTGGTAACTTATTAAGATACTTGGCACAATTTCAATAGTGGAAGAAAAGGTAGTTTAGATGGCATATATGATACGAATGTCTTAAAAAAATATTTATTTTTTAGTTTTAGGTGGATACAATATCTTTATTTTACATTTATGTGGTGCTGAGGTTCAAACCCGGTGCCCCTTGCATGCTAGGCAAGYGCTCTACCACTGAGCCACAATCCCAGCCCCAATACAAATGTCTTTGACAGGTACTAAATGATTGCTATAGACTTCGATGTTAATTTCTGAGCTCCACATAAAATTATATTAAACTACAAATAACTAACAAATGGCTGATTTCTTTGCCAATAGTAGAGATTGTTATACMAGTGAAAAGCAAAAGAGGAATTGCAGAGATCTACTAATGTATTAGTAGGATAATCTTCCATCACTGAAATTTGTCACTTACCTGAATTAAAAATACTTTGATGCTATTGTCTTCTAAATTAGTAGCCGTTATTCGCAAATTTTTCCGATTTGCTCTTTGAACTTTCATCTGAGCCCAGAGTTTGCTGTTGAGGATCAGCCTCAGACTGCCTTGATTGCGCATAACTATAATAGGAAGTTGAAAATATCAGATTACAGTTCTTGATTCCTTGGCCTTCCAGGAAACTCACCATTTTTTAAATATTGTAGTTTTTTGTCAGACTGTATTTTCACTAATAAGTTATAATTTGACTAGATTATAACTTGGTTTTTCAAACCATATTTGAACTTTATTATGTTGAAAAGCTTTTTTTAGCTTAAATGCTATAACTATATTTTAAAATGATTAAAATTTTAAAGAATATTTGTCCAAGAATTGTTTATAATGGAGAAAACTGAAACAAAAACTTTAAGCATACAAAAAGTGGAATAGGAAAAATTACAGTGCAGCATTTCAAGAGCATATTATKAATCCATTAAGAATACTGCAGAAATATATAGTGATATGGAAAGATAATCATGGAGACCACTGAAAAAAATGTCAGGTTCCAAAGCAGCATGAATCACAAATTTCACAAACTGTGTATACGTATATGTATCCAAAGAACAAGGTCCACAAGAATGGACTGTTCAGAGGTTTTCTCAGGAAGATRGGCCTTTAAGTGATTTCTTTTTCTTTTTGTGGATCTACATTTTTTGTTTTGTACAGTGAACATATATTACCTGCACAATAAAAAGAAAAATTGTTTGGGGGGTTTTGTTTCTTTCTTTGTTTTGGTTTTTTTTTTTTGTTTGTTTGTTTGTTTGTTTTGATTTGTTTTTTGGTGGGCAATTGAATTAAACCAGAGTAGAGAACAACTAATACTGCTTTGGGAATATTATTTGATTGAGTTACTTAGAAACCTGCTTGCCAGGACAGGCACAATGGCACACACYTGTAACCCTAGTGGCTCAGGAGGCTGAGGCAGGAGGATCACAAATTCAAAGCCAGCCTCAGCAAAAGCGAGGTACTAAGCAACTCAGTGAGTCCCTTTCTCTAAATCAAATACAAAATAGGWTTGGGGGTGTGCCTCAGTGGTCGAGTGTCCCTGAGTTCAATCCCTGTACCCCCCCCCAAAAAAAAAGAAAAAAAGAAACCTACTTGCCAGTCACYGAAAACACTGTTCCTATTCTTTTAATCTGAATTCTATTCCTTATCCATTTCTTGAACCCAATATTTGAAACTCAACAAATATACATGTCCCTGAACCTATCTCCTGTCTGTATTCTCCTGCAAAGCTTTGGCCTCTCAAAACTGACTGGCAAACCTACTCACTATGCCTGGCTCTCTTCCTGTGCTCACTTTTAGTTTTGGCCTTCAAACAAAGCTCAGTGTGTCTTTTGGATGCCAAATATTATCAGTTGGATCCGGAATGTCCCCCAAAGGCTCATCGGTTGGGGGCTTGGTCCCCAGTGCAACAGTGTTCAGAGGTGGGGCTCTTGGGAAGTGACTGGATCACAAGTGCTCTGGCCTTGTCGGTGGATTAATCTATTGATGGAGTAATAATTTAATGTCATTACTGGTAGATGATAGAAACCCTAGAAGGTGAGACCCAGTTGGAGGAAGTAAATCACTGAGGGCATGGGTATTTCTTATATCTGACCCCCTCCACTCTCTCTTCCTCCACCATGCCTTTCTGCCAYGATGATGCTATGTCTCACCTCAGGCCCAAAGCAATGAAGTTGGTTGACCATGGACTAAAACCATGAGCCAAAATAAGTCTTTCTTCCTTTAAGTTGTTTACCTCAGGTGTTTCGTCAGAACAATGGAAAGCTGACTAACACACCAAATCTCTTGGATCGTTCAGTTTGATGTTAGCTTCTGATCATTGCTCTGTTTGCAGGAGTCAATAACCACACATCTGTTTCCTTAGAAACTGACCCTCCAGCCCAACTCCCATGCCATGTTTGGGATTACAAGAACAGATTATGGAACAGGTATTTTCTTTTTGAAAAACTTTTCACTTCATAAACTTATTTGCATCATATTCCTTCTAATAATAATRTGACTATTTAGGTGTGTCCGGGGCTCTGACATAGGTGCTTTATATGGAGTRTCTTGCTGTATTCTCACAATATCTCAAAAAGTCATGAAATATAGTTATCCCCATTTTAAATTGACTCAGATAGGGCAAAGAGGTTAAGTAACTTGCCCAAGGTCACCAGCTAGTCRGTGGTGGAGCCAGAGCTGGAACCCATGCAGTCTGACAGGAAGTCTGATTTATTGGTGTGTTTTATAACACATCTCTAGGAAGTCATGTGTACTTATGTCAGAAATTTTACCCTGAGAAATCATGGCTTKCTTTACAAAGTGATTCCTTACTTAGTCTTGACTGTAATGTTCCACAGTCACTGCTTGCTGTGTCATTCAGTCTCAAAGTTCCTCTGCCCCTTTCAATCCAGGATTGAGTTGTTTTGTTGAATATAAAAAGCTTGCAGTTGATCTAAATGACAATTTTTAAAAAATCAAATATATAAATTTTTTCAAAGTAAGTTATTTCCTATGCTTATAACACTTTTATAAATCTATTTGATCTTTTGCCATAATAACCTTTGTTGATTACTTATACACCACCTTTTGAAATTTATCTGACTTTTAAAAACATGTAATTTTAAAATATAACTCCATAACAAAACCCCTTACAAAGTAAAAAAAGAACCCCCAACCCTTGTTCCCCATCTGACAATTTCCACMCCTGTAACTGGTAACCACAATGACATTTTGTTTATCCTTCCAGAAATATCTGTACATACATATGTGCCAATTCATATATTTGTTCTTCTCTTTTTCTTCTATAAATTGTAGACTACTATCCATACTTGCTGYTTTTCACTTCACATGTTTCTATATATACTAATTTTTACATTAATCTTAATATTATTTGAGTTACAGAATGACATTTGAAAGGATTCRTGGAGCTACTAGCATGCTTAAAAATTTTCAAAGTCAGCATGAGAACTTGGAGAAATATGATGTGATACCATAAAATGCTTACTATAATTTAGTGATTATCAGTGGATCTTAAATACTCCTATRTATAAAAATCAGCTAGACAACCCTATTCAAAATATAGCATGTCAGGGCCTCACCCCTAGCAATTACTTCAATAAGAATGGAGTTAGTCTAATCCGAGGATTATGCTTTGAGACACACTTATTAGAATGAAAGTATCTGTAGGTCATGGAGGAAAGGAGAGACCTTGAGAGAAAAGCAGAAGGGGAAAGGCAAAGGGAAATTGCTGCCTCCTTGAAAAATGATGAAATTGTGGTACCCTGAATACCRCTCAACACTCAAAAATGACATTTTCATACATCTATAAAACTCTTGATTTGTACACAAGTCTAACCTTCCTAAAAGGAAAAAAAATCTTTATCTTAAACTGAAATTGTCTTCTTATGACCATTTAAAAACCTTCAGTGTAGGGGCTGGTGTTGTGGCTCAGGGGTAGAGYACTCGCCTAGTATACGTGAGGCACTGGGTTCAATCCTCAGCACCACATAAAAATAAAACAAAGGAATTGTGTCCACCTACAACTAAAAAAAATAAATGTTTTTTTTTTTTTAAAAAAAACTTTCAGTGTAAGTAAGTAGAATTAATCAATMGTGTGATAATAGCGCTGATCATAAAAACAGGCATGAAAAGTATAGAGGGAAAGTCTGATGTTATTTTGAGACCGGATCCCTGGCTGTCTTCTTTCTAAGGATCTACCCATTTGGGTAACAACCCATTTTTTTTCTGAAAATTATACATACAGATGTGGGAAGATAACAATATATTGGCTTGAGCTTTGGAAGCTTCTGACATTTATATTTAAACAGTGTAGTCTTAATTAAAACTATATTTCTTTCAGCATTTTTTAAGATGGCCCTGCTGAGAGTAACCTTATTCCATATATGTAAGTGCCACCAGAAAGAGCAACACATGATATACAGACCTTTAACACATTATATTCTGCTTCCTCCCCTGTTATTATGTCGATTTTCTCCAGCAAGTATTTTCGAGATGGTTGGGAAGAGAAAGCAGCAGCAGATTCAATTAGGGATGCATTGTTAATAGAGTCTGTTCCTGAGAGAAAACATGAGGGGAAAACCACATAGAGGTCCCATTTCCTCTCTAGTGAAGGTTATTTGTTGCTCCTATTAATGCACATATCTCCTTATATTAAAAATAAAAAATCAAACTGCTTGAGTTTCTCCTTRTTGACTCCCCCATAGCAATAAGTCAAACATTTTCTAAAGCTTATGTGTTTTAATCTTTACCAAAAAATTAAATATTGGATTATTGGTTTTTTTAAAAATATATAGCTATTAAATAAGTGACATAGAAAACAGGAGACAAAGTAATTATATGTTGAATTCTTACTTGAATTTGGAGAGTTGATAGGGAGTTTCAGAATGGATTTGAATGTGTTTTGGTTGGCATTTGAATCATTTTCAAGTTGAGGCTGGGTTCGTTTTTGAGTTCCCTAGGTAGGTAAAAAGATGCATTATTTAATGTTATCCCTACATATTTGCAATTTACAAGTATATTAGCAGGTGTCTTCTTACAAAAGATGTTTTTGTTGTTCTATTTCCCACACAATCCCAGTGGCTGTGTTTTGGTTCTAGTATTCCTGTTGGAGGAACCGGGAGCTCTACGCTATTGTTTCAGGCCTTAGTTCTGATCCTCAAAAAAACATAATCTAGTCACCACCAGCCTCCTTTAGACTGGATCTAGCCTCAGGAACAATGGGGAAAAGTTCTAGTGGAGCCAAAAAAGGTAGCAACTCCCAGGAAGTGCAGCTATCCTCTATATTTCAAGGTAGTTCGGCATTCCCAGAAATTCGCTCTTTTTTTTTTTTAAATATTTCTTTAGTTGCAGTTGGACACATATCTTCATTTATTTTTATGTGAGAATCGAACCCAGTACTTCACACGTGAGGCGAGCGCTCTACCACTGAGCCACAGCCCCAGCCCCAGAAATTTACTCTTATTAGGCACTTAATTAAAAAAATAAAAATAAAAAAGTTGTTCAGAGACTCCACTAGATGTCTTAAAAAACAACTTTATAGAAACAATCAGAACTTTTTCTCTAACAATATTTGGCACAGTCACATTTGAGACTGCATATCTGGGGCTCTGTACATGTGATTTAATCAAAGCCTGCATAAAAAAGAACACCATGCTGCTATAACTATGTAAAGCCCCCTGCAGAACAGGAAAAGTTGGAATGATGGTACTTAAGAGCTCACATTCATATCTTTTCTTTTATGAACTCAAGATTCTTTCACATGATTTAATTGGACATCRAGATAGTTCCTTAAAATTGGTAGAGACTGGCATAACTCTTTTCATTTTTAAGAAAATGGAAACTCTGAGTATGAAAGTTTAATGATTCTCTTTAATCATGTGGTCAGCCAACAAGCCAGGAGTGCATCCTGGCCCCCAAATCACAAAACCACAGGCTTTCGAGACTAATTAGAGGAAACCGACAAGACACATTATCTCTGTAGGTCCCATTATCCTTAGGACACTACTAAATGAAAGAGATATGAAGCTCGGGTCCTTTTATAAGACAAATTTCAAATTCCCATAAGAATGTGCACAAGTGTTTTCTCAAAACAAACCTCTGTGGTTCCAACAGTTGTTTGTATAGATACCTGTCTGTCTCCTCTTACCGGATCCTAAGTCCCTCTGGGGTACATGACTCTTTTGGCTTTACATAACCACTTGGACACTTTTCAAACCTAGTTGTACATTAGAATCACTTGACACCTTGCCTCACCCACAGAGATGCTGACCCAACTGGTCTGGGGTGAGGCCCAGGTATAAGAAATCCTTTAAAAGCTCACCAGATGGTTCTAATATGCAGCCAAACTTGAGATTAACGCTTCATATACCTAGGAACTCAATCCATGACTGATAAATTGAATTGAATGTTTAAGCTGATCCTGTGAAGATTAGAAGACATCTTAATTGTGCCTGACAGCTCACAGAAGCTGTAACTAATCTAGTGTCAAACTTAGAAATAAATAATACAGAACAAATGTGCCTAAATATATCTCATGGAACTTCACCCTGGAGCTTGGTACATTCTGATTCAGATCCAAAGATGTGGGTCAGCAGCTCTAGGGCTGGTAGAGTTGACCTTCTTGGGAGTAACAGAAGGGTGTTTTTCAACTAAAAAGTTACGATACAACTATTAGACTTGAGGAGTAAACTGAGACAGGTCTAGAATAATCAAGGTCTTAAAAATKAAAGATCTGTGAAAGTCCTAAAAATCTTGGAATAGACTGGCATTGTGAGTTTGCCCTTTTAGTAATCTGAGCCTTTACACAAACTTTAAAGTCTCTGCAACTTCCTTAGGATTTTTGATGTAACCAGTGACCCTAAGACAAGCTCACTTCCCTAGGTCTATTGCAAACTTGCTCCTGGTCTGAATGAAAGCGGGAAAAGGCATGAAGGTGTGAAGGGCCACGTGAAACCACAGGCACAGTTGCTCCACAGTCTCCCCTTCACTGTACAATTCCCTACTACAGATTATGCTGTCTTAGAAATCAGCTCTGTGGAGAGCCAAGCAGCAGCTGCCGCATGCAGGGGGATGTTCAGTATTAAATAAGGATGAAAGTATTAATAGTCAGGGATTTTCACTTTGTAACATATTCCCCTAGGCAAGGAAAGACTGATATTCCTCATAAACCTATCAAAAATGTTGTAATAATGCTTTTTGATGTAAGAGCTTGAAGAGTAGAGTTGTGATTAACTAATAAGAATATACTGTAAAGTGATTTTTAAATGCATCTTGTTATAAAAATGCTATTAAAAACTACATTAAAATATCATTACCAGTTAAGCTAATCTAGCTATTACAGATAATTCTGAGATTTCCTTGGGYACATTTGGTTTAATACAAGTCAAAGAACTGTTTAATATCTCACATCAGTAATAATGTTATAATTATGCAGTTCCCTTACTCTGTGGGTTCCTGTCTAGCATTCTCTTGCTTCCCAAGAGAATCTTTTCAGTCAAAATAAGAAAATGTGCCTTTGAACCCGGGAGATAAAAAGTATTCTCCAATTTAACATTACTTTTAATTAATTTGTCTTCAGAAATTTGAAGTGACATCTCTCTCTATGGTAATAGAAATATATACCAAATTCTTACCAAAACTCTCTCCACCATGTTTTCTCCGAAGACAAACTCTAAATTGCAGCTTTTAAAAGAACATTTTCCATTTGGTTGACATCTAAGAAAAATAAATAAGTGTTTTCTCTTTTAAATATATGAATAAGAACATTTCATACCTTAGCCAGCAAAATAATCCAATGATTTAATGAATTTAAATAAAGCATTAATATTTCCCACTAACTTTTTTATCTGAAGTTAATGAGAAACTACAGAAACATTGAGGTATGTACTTTTATATGTGGTTTTCAAAATATCCACCAGCTGCTACAGCATTGGTGCCCACCCATACAAACAATCTCGTGTTCTCCCTGCGCTAGCTGWGAGATTAGCCAGGAGGGACCTTTTTGCTTTCCCTGCCCTGTCTCTCCAATCTCTAATCTGCATTCTTCTCTTCCCCAATGGCCAATGATGTTTTTAGCAGAGATCATCAGGGCAAAAGCAAAGCTGATCTATCCTGTCCATTACACTTGAGCATGCATTGTTTTAATTTTTTAACCTCCCAGATTTTTTTTTTCTTAAAGTTAAAAGTATTTTGCAGAAGCTGGGTGAGGTGATATACCCCTGTAATCCTAGGGATTTAGGAGGCTGAGGCAGGAGGATCACAAGTTCAAAGCCAGCCTCAGCAATTTGTCTCAAGATAAAAAATAATAATAATAAAGGTCTGGGCATGTGGCTCAGTGGCTAAGTGCCCCGAGTTTAATCCTTAATGCCAAAAATAAGAAAGTATTTTGCAGATGAGAAACTTGAAGACATGCAGCCCTCTCTTTGTAGGGAGATGTGTTCAGSGTTCTCTATTGCATCCCCAACCTGCACAGCAGACAATTGCTAAGACACCTGGATGGAGCAAGTGAGTCAATGTGTCACAGCTGATTTTTATGTTCTCTCTGATCCTTTGTCACCAGTACTGTTAAGAAACAATAGCTTTTCATTTTATAGGTTTATACCACTTCCCTTTTTGTCTAYACAGCTTATGCCAATAAATAATAGATAATGCCAAAATAATTAAAAAGAGGGAAAAGGAATGCCAGAGAAAGAGGAAGACTAATCTAATAACCAGATAATTAATGCTTGCTTAACTAAAAGTTTAGTTATACCTTTTGAAACATTCTCACCCAACTCAAAGAGATAATTAAGACAATCCAGTACTAAATGATATTTAAATATCAGAGATATTTTTAAAACATTTTAAACTTGAGTTCTTATAAAATGTCCTTTCAAATGGAAATCTTGGTAGTTTTCCATACACTGTGAGAAAATTTTTTCTCATAAATGGTTATAAGGATAAAAGAAAGCAAGAATAAAACACTTCTGTTTTGTCATTACAATTTAGGCATATCCAATCCAAAAGCCTGAAATCCAAAATCCTCTGAGATCTGAAACTTTTTGAGCATCAATGTAACATCACAAGTAGAAAATTCTGGTGGACCACAGTGAACAAAATTACTTAGAATATTATATTAAAATGAATAAAATTACTTAGAATATTATATAAAATTGCCTCCCGGCTGTGTGCATATGAAACATAAATAAATTTTGTGTTTAGACGTGGATCTCCTCTCCAATATATTTCAAATATTCCAGAATTTTAAAATATCGAAAATCTGAAGCAATCTTTATCTAGTTCCAAACATTTCAGCTAAAGGATACTCAAACAACATTAACTTACCCTACTGATGTTGAACCTGAAAATTGCTGGTTAGTAGAAAGCGGAACTGAAATTCTGGCATTTGGTAAATTTTCACTTAATAAATGGGGATTCTCCTCAGAAATCTGAAAGAAAAAATCTCCATCATCAAATTTGTTAGAATTGCCTTACTATTTAACAAAGTGATAGCTATGTCAAATATGTTGGAAGCTTACTAGCTTACTATGTCCACCTATTCCCTGAGATATATATATACACACACACACACATATATAAACACATATATGTATATATATATATATGCCATATATAGTGTGTATGTATGTGTGTGTGTATAAATATATATAAATATATTTTATATATATATAAAATCTCATTTACTCCTCACAGCAAGTGAATCTGTGTTCAGATGAGTAAACTGAGGTAAAGAACTTAAATAACTTGTCAACCCTCAATAGTTCCTCAGATGGCTGATGGAATAATTCTAATAGTCCAACTTCTTACTTTGTGTCTCCTTCCTCCTAAGTGTCTGTTTCTGCTGGAAGAAACAGCTAAAGCTATGGGAGTGGAATTTCTCCGAACCCATATCTGTAGGACCTGAGCAAAAGGGGAATCTTCCTAGAGAAGCTTAGAGTGAGTGGCTCAGAAACTTTTATTTTGAAGAGAGGAGAGAATTTTTATGTCTTCCAGCACCATCCCCACCCCACCCCCACCCCATTCACACCAATTACACTGTATAGGAAGTTCCCTGCTCTTGCTATCCATGAAGATGGGTCTGGAGTGGACCCCTGATGTGACCTAAACTGACAAAGCCATCCTACCTGTTGAACAGTTGGGGATGCAGTAAATTCCCCTTCCTTCTCTGATGACCAACTCTGGCCCCTTCCTACCTCACTACTTCTAGGATTCTCATAGGGCTCAATGCTCTGGAAGAAGACCTACGGGTTCCCACTGCCCAGTACTGTTTTACCACTTAGAGCAACCACAAGACTTGTTTCAGGGAATAACTCTCCAACCTAAGAGAGTAAGTTTAACAAGGTTACCAAGCACTTTTTTTTTTTTTTTTTTTGCAGTCTATCCTGGTATTTTTCAAGTTTGGCAGCTACTTCAACAACAAAACAAAACTCAGGCAGCCCCGGTTCTGGATGTGGGGGTCTCAAAACAATCATGGAGAAGGATGGGGCATTAAAGCCAGTCCTGCCAGAGAGGGGAGTTCTCACCTTATGTTTCATCTTTTCTTTAATTTTGCCRGATTCCAAGGTATTTTGCTCAAATGTTTGTCCTATTTTTTCACAGCTTTGAGCTTGATGAGGTGGCTGTAAAGTAGCAGGTCTTAGAACATGTTCAGAATGCTTTACAGGACCTTAAAAGAATAGAGGTAAAGGGTCAACATATTTTTAGTGAAATTCTCCTTTTTTCCATATTTTAAACTAACATAATGCTGTTTTCTTTCTTTTTTTAAATATTTATTTATTTATTTTTAGTTTTCGGTGGACACAACATCTTTGTATATGATGCTGAGGATTGAACCCGGGTGCACGCATGCAAGGCGAGCGCGCTACCGCTAGAGCCACATCCCCAGCCCCATAATGCTGTTTTCTAACATCATGATTAAATAAGGGACTAATAATAACTAATGAAAGTCAAAATAGCCAGTGAACTGCCTACTATTCACTCCACGCCTAGCTTTTGCCCCAAAAGCATTCATTTTGACCATGGGACCTGGATTACCAAATATTTTTATCCTTCATATGTTGTCCCTCTGCCTTACCTCCATACATCTCAAAAAACATACATATGTATGCAAATGAAAATAAAGATGGTAAAATGTAAAATTATTGAGGTTTTTGAATTTGAAGCTACATACCTTGTTCCGCACTGTTCATGTCAGCATTCATTTGTACAAGACTTGATGTCATAAAAACATTGTTTTTCTTCACTGTAAGAAAATATTAAAATCAATAAATTAATTAAGATTAAAATTAAGAAAATTTWAAAAATTTTAAAATCAGTGTCAGAAGAGGTCATATAAAATTGGGGGTTTAAAAGCCTGGTCTGAATTGACCAGTAGGTGTCGCTATTGGCACTAACTGGCAGTGCCTCTTATTACAGGATAAGTTTTGCTTCGTAATTTTGATTACCCTAAGAGATACAAATGAAAATTAGATAACTGACAGAAAAGGCAGTCTTATTTAGAATCATAAATTTGAGCACTGTGGAAATTTCTGCAGACTATAAATTCTGAATCAGTGATAAACACTGTGTGCATGAATATACAGCTTGTACAGAAGTTATAAACTGTTAGCAAATTCTCCCTTAATGTAGTAGCTATGTACTTAAGGGATAACTTAAAGCTAGCCCATTACTTTATTCACAAATACACTAAAATAGAACACTTTGCCTCTGAAATCAGGCCCTCTATTTCTCTTCAAAGTCTGTAGCTTGTCAGCTGGGCTTAGAAGAGGTCTGTTAAGCTTGTGTCTCTTCTGTGTGAGAAAGACTATTGCTGAGTCCTGTTTGGAATTATTAAAGAAGAATATAGATTCATTCCTTTGAACATTCTGTAGTTCCAGGGAACAGAGGGATTAGTTTAAAAAGAGGTGAATTGTTTTTATTTTTATTTCTTAGTGGCAAACTTGAAAAACTTGTTCAGTAGAAATAAAATCACACAAGAATGGATCGCATCATTTTAATGTGAAGAAAGTACCTATCAATCATTTAAAAATATTTTTACTTAGTAAACTATTAAAAATTTCAAGGAAAGAGAAGTAATGTTTTAAATACTGAAAAATCTGTAATGGAATCACAAATTAAATATTAGAATATGAACCTAAAGCATAATTGAATATTTTGAATTCCATATAAACTATGGAGATGGAGGATAATAAATAAAGGAAGTTGCTTTTATTTTATAGATCTGCCTTATATAAAATGATACTACCATAAACATAAAGTTCTAAAAAACATCAAGTTCAAACTTTCTACCGCAAATAAACACATACACTGGCTGGATTTGTGGAGTTAGGATTCATAAAGTATACTTCTCTGCAAACCTTGTGAAGGCCTCTATTTGATTTTGTTAGCGTTTTATGAGAGTTGAGAAAGAAACCTTATCGTTAATAAGAATGATCTTGAAAAACCAGAGTGTCAGGCTTGAGGTTCTAGAAGCTCTTTATTACCTGGGCCAGAAGGGGGGAAGATTGGGAGGTCAGTGAAGGACGAAGATCTCAGGCGCTTCTGAGACAAGGTTGACACTAAAAGCAGATTGCAAACTTGAGTCAATAAAGAAAAGAGGGGCGTTTTTCCTTGTTTTGTTTTTTGATTTAGATTTTTGCTGTTTGGGAAACATTTTAGATGACCAATTCAGGAAATCTTCATATTTTATCAATAAAAAAAGAAAGCCTCTGGTGGGGATTATAAACTAATTTCCTTTCCCTTCAATAAATATTTATCGAGTGCTGACCATATGTAAGACACTATCAAGCATGAAGATGACCTCTGGGAACTCAAGGTGAGGAGACAGACCAACTGTATAACAAGGCCCAAAGCAATAAGGCCAATTAGGAGGGGATCAGAGAAGTGCTTTGATGTAGAAGACAGACAGACTAAGTCAATGATTTACTTAGAATAAGTGTGATAAAGTTCTTTTTAAAGGGTAGACATCCTTTTATTTAAATATGTGGTTACTTTCATAAGGGCCATTATCCCTAATTGCAAAACTAACACATGCTCACTACAGAAATTTGGAAACACAACAAAACACAAAGCCAGGGTGAAGATGGGGGACCAAATGACTTGCAATTCCATTACCTAAGATAACCACTGCTAACACTATGTAGTTTATGACCTTTTGGCATTTTTACCCCCAAAGCTGAAAGAATTCTTAACACATGGATCGTGAGCCACTACACAATCCATGTTATAACTTGTTGTTTTCACATTAACAATACATTATAAACATTGCCCAATGGATAGACTTTTAACATTACCCTTTTGGAAAATTTTTTGTTAATTTCACATTCAGATTAAAAATAGCCATGAATAGTTGATAGTAAATTTTATACCTACCTCCCTGGGATGGAGAATCTGCAGTACACAGAGTAAAAGATGAAGACCGTACACGCTTTCTTGAAAAACGATTACAGTCTGCAAGAAATTCAATGGGAAGGGTAACTGCTTGCAAGAATAAATTATCCTCAAACTCTGACATGGGAAGATAAACAGAGTTTGATTAATATGTTTACTCCTAATGCCCAGTTTTAAATATTGGATTGATAGATTGGTGGTTATAGACCCATAAGCATATTATATTAGTAGAAAACAACTAGAAATGAGTGGTTTCAAGAGGAAGTTGTGTGCACATTCTGAGTCTCCACTGAAAAGGTTTTTGGTAGGCCAAGTTGCAGGCGGTGAAGATCATGGGCTTTTAGTTGCTCACATCAGTGTTCTCAGGGACCTGCATGAATCTGGCAAAACAAAGACCAATCTACAGTATGCTTAAAAACAAGAAAGTGTAWTGTTTCATGCAGTCTGCCACATGCCAAAAGGCTTGTGCTTGCCTATTTTCCTTATTAATTTTGAAATACAGAATATGAATCATTACCAGGTTCTGCTGCTTCAAAGGGGGTGTCTTCCGCAGGTCTCTGAAAGGACACAAAGCTGCCAGTGAGAGCCGAGTATCTGCTGTTTTAGCATCAGATTTCTTGCCACTTTATAAGAATGCTTAGGCTCCAGGGTTATTCAATCCACCACCCCACCACCTACCACACACACACACCAGACAAAACAACTCACCTTTATTCACCAGGTTTGTAATCAGGAAAAAACCCACAAGTCTAGTACAGTGGTTTCAGATCTCAATGTCTACAGAATCCCTTGTGGGAATGTGTTTAAAATGCATATTTTTGAGGCACCCACTCTCAAGACTCTGAAATGGTTGATACTGGATAGGAATCCGCTTTTTTCATAAAGGATTAGAGGTTGAACTTTTCTTTATTTTGTCTTGGGGGTAGTGCAGCAAATGCCTTGCATAGTAAGAATGAATACCAAGACAATAAAAACAAGCTAAAGTGAGATTGCTGCTAATCTTTTGTTTGTCTTTGAATTGGAATGATTTCAGTGTAATGCTCAAAAAGGCAGATAGAGTCCATAAGGACTTTTAAACAAATATCGCAGTTCAGAATTTATTTTATACCCAGTTTTAGACCAGGTCAGTGAGGACCCATGTCGAGCCTTAGTCCTCCGAATCTCTTTCAGTTCCTCCACTTTTCAAATCACTCCAGATAAACATTATTTTAGCAAAAGCAGCATCTTATCCACAGCTTCCAGRCAAGGTACCCTGTTTCAGCTAAACTAATACCTATAAATCCTATAAATCCCAGTTATATGAATATTCTGGAAGCACTATTCTGCTACTGGGGAACATAGGATAAACCTGTGCAGCAACGATGTCTTAAGTTAATTGCTAGATTCTTGAAATACAATTTTCTTTGTCAAAGTAAAATAGAAGAAAACAAAGTAAAAACAAAAGTGTCTCATCTTACCTTGAAAGTTCTTTCTCCCTTTTCAAAAACAAATATTGGTTCAGCAATGACAGATTTTTCTGTCAAAGAAAAGGAATGGGCAAGAAATCAAAGCATGCAATGACATTTTATTCACCACTCAAAAAAGATTTGGAGAAAAAAAAAGTACATGTATAAAGGCATGGATTGGCGTGAACATACTTTATATACAGAGATACGAAAAATTGTGCTCTATATGTGTAATAAGAATTGTAATGCATTCCACCGCTATTGTGTATTTATAAAAAATAAAATAAAATCAATAAAAGATTAAAAAAAGATTTGCAGAATTTTTTAAATTTTGTATTTTCCTTGCCTTTGGGCAAATTCAAACTATTTTACTGTACACTTCATATTTATAAATAATTTAATAGTTAATTACAGAAATAATACTTAGGGAAAATGAAGGTTGTATGTTTCTATAAGAGATAAAACCATTAAAGAACATGATTTAAATGTTTATGGAAAACAGCACAGAATTGCTTGTATTTAGAACTTCATTAGGACAAAGTGTCTAACATCTTTAAGAATAAAACATTTCAACAGGTGAAAAATTCTCTTCCAGAAGAGTTCTTCTGCTTTTTCTTTTAAATTTGAGACAGGGTCTGGCTAAGTCTACTAGAGTTGGATCTTCAGGTGTAAATGATATAGCTATACTGCATTCCATCCTTAAAACGATCCAAAAATAATTCTTATTTCTTTTACTAGAGTTGTCATATAGTAAACTATACTTTCAGTATTTAAATTAAGGATTGGTCTTCCACTGTGTTATAAAGTACATAAAGTTTGTCTTCAACCCTGCCAGTCTTATTAATCTTTTATRTTTTCCCATCCTTTAAGTAAGACAATAGAAATTCTTTAATTCTAGGGTATAAGTGCATGATAACAGCTTTAAATATCAGCACTCCAGAATTCTTAGGAAATATTATCTGGGGTTAAAGCTCAGGCTCTGGAGTTAGTCACATTTCTGAATGTAAGTTAGTTTGTTAATTGGCTATATACTTTGGGTAAATTGAGTCTGTTCCTGGCAACTTTAGATATAATTACCTTGAATTTTTTAAAAAGTCTTAAAGAAAGAATATTAAATATTTGGCTTACCACCAACCTCCATTCTAAAACACACACCTGACGTTTGCTAACTGATGACATCACATTCTTAAGGAGTCCAAAGATGACCTCAGAACTTTTCTCAGTATGATAGCCATTACCTATATATTGCCTTGACATATATAAAGCAAGCTCTGAGAAATTTCAAGAAGCTACTAGACCAATCTTTAAATGCAAAAAGAGCTCCTACTCCCTAAATCTTATCCTATAAGAGAGCATCATAAACTCTGACAGACCACCCTTTGTGAATCTCCTGGGGCCACGTGAACTTGGGTACATTTTTTCCAATGACATAAATAAAGTGCTCATTTTTTTTCTCCCCTTGTGGTACCAGGTGCTTTACCACATCCCCATTTATTTTTGCTTTTTAAATTTGGAACAGGATCTTGCCAAATTGCTGAGAGTCTCAGCTAAAATGTTAAGACTGGCTACGAAATTACAATCTTCCTCCTCAGCCATCCAAGTCAATGGGATTACAGGTGTGTGCCATCATGCCCAGCAGGTTCCTAATGCAAATGCTTCCCATACTATCAGACCTCAGAACCCCAGCAAAAAATGTGCAATAACATCTGGGCATTCTCATAGGAAACTACAATTTAATCCTTTGTTCTTTCTCATAGCAAGCTCCTTATCCAGCAATTGCTTTTGATTTGAACAAGAGATTCTTAGTGAGTTTGAAAGTTATTGTGTGTTTTATTTGTGTGTGTGTGTGTGTGTGTGTGTGTGTGTATGTGTGTGTGAATGTGCAATATGAATTAGAATAAAAAAGTTGGGCTCTTATGAATTGGGTTTGGGACAGTCATCCTTTAAATAGCATGACTTGGCCTCAGCCTAGAAAAATAACATGCTGACTTTCCCTTCATTAAACACATGGCTAAAAATATGCAAAAGTAATCTTCAATAGCAGCTCGAAGTTTGGATGATATATGGTAATATAAGAAGGCCACCAAAAAATATTTATTGAGCATATTTTTTGTTGTTTTTTTGTTTTTGTTTTCCCTAGTCCCGGTTATTGAACCCAKGGGTGCTTTACTACTAAGCTCCATCCCTGTTTCTTTTCTCTTCTTTTTTTTTTTTATTTGAAACAGGGTCTTGGTAAACTGCTAAATGTGCCTGCACTGATACATGATCTGATTGACAGTGTATTAATTTCACTGAAGCCACCTCCTCTCCTTGACACTGCCCAGCACACTGGTTACAAAACAGATGATCTCCACTCTTCCTCTTTCGCTTTGATTCTCTCCCCTTCTCCAGAGTRATTCACTTGGCTCCAAGGACAGTGTCCAAAGTAAGCACTTATTAAGTCATTGGGAACATAGCAGACTTCTTACCTGAACCAGTAGCAGAATTTGAAAATACAAACATGGCTCTTAAAATCATGTTTTATTTGGCCTTTTTTTCTTTCTAGTAAAGTCATTAAAGCCATTTATTTAGCAAATAGGCATTGAGGAGTGAATACGTACAAACACTTTCAAGGTATTTTGAATAAAGCAGTAGAGTAGAGATGTTGTCCAACTGCTTCACAGATCTCAAGCAGTGGAAACAGAACTAAGCCATGGCACGCCAATTTAAATTCCACGGGGATAAAGCCTATAAAATCGAGGTTCCAGGTTCCCAGTGAGTGACCAACAGCCTAGCTGTCTGTCTGGGGAATCGTGATCGGGTTCCCAGGAGAGGCGATAGAAAGGCAAGCGTTGAAGGGTAAGTACAGCGAGCCGGGAAGAGGCCAGCAGAGGGGAGTCCAAGCAGAGGGAGAAGCAAGAAGAACGTCTCTAAGGATGGATAGAACTTGGCAAATCCCAGTAATGACAGGAACCTGTGTGGCTGATACCCACAGAGGAGAGAGGACAAATGCTGCAACATGGGGCTGGAGATGCGGTGGGAGCTTTGTCAGGACTTGAAGTTCTGTCGTGGAGGTTTTCTTGTTTGTTCTTTTGTTTTTAAGAAAAATGGGAAGCCAGTAAGACAGAATTTGCTCTGTTGTTGTTGTTGTTCTCCTTCTTCCATCATTCCGTTTACTGTGTGGAAAACGGATAAGAGGGGATGGGGCTGAGGGAAAGGAAATAAGCAATCTAACTAAAAGGCCGCTCCACGTTCTAGAGGGGAGCTGATGTAGTGGTGCTTTGTTTCTTTGCTTAAAAATCTTGCATCTGTAATTTTTTTTAAGGGAAAAGAAATGGCCAACTTCAGGCTACAAAAGCCTCCGTGTACTGTTTATCAATCCCAAAGAAAGAACTTTGAGGACCCAACAGCAAGGGCCTGGGTATTTTATTAGTCACACACTCCTCGGTGGCAGCAGGGGGACAACGTGGAGGGCCACAGCACGCCTTCAAGCAGGGGGGAGGCCAGGATAGGTGGTTTCCCTCCGCCATTTCCCTGTTATCACAGTCTTTGGAGCCCTTCTTAATCCCATCAGGAAGAACAAGACTCCCTAGGTGCTGACTTGTCTTTATCCCAACAGGAATAACTAAAAGTTTAAAATATAGTCTTTATTATAAGAATTAATAATAAAAGGATGAAAAGAAATACTTCAACACCTGAGGACTAATTTTTTTGTTTTGACTGTTTTAAGGTTCACGTAGCATTCAGTGAATTTCTATATTCATTGTTGTTTTCTGAATATTTTATTAAGGGAAGATATTCACGTGACCCACAAAAAAATCACCTTGAGTACCTGGTAAAAGAAATCACATAAAGTGCTGTCTCTATGACTCAATCTTGGTTTACATGCTCCATAGTGGAGGTACCTTGTGGGTCAAGTGCTTTCAGTCATCCTATTAAACATAATAATTTAAATCATTTTGTGGATTCAATCTGTTTTCTGCAACTTATAGATAAGAAGACTAAGTCTTCGTTAAGTGACTTGCTCAAAGTCATACCACTGGCAATGGCAAATCCTTTAATTAAACCCAGTCCTGCATCCTCCAAAACTATTGATCTTAAATTCAACATGTCATACTGACTGTGTTAGTCAGATTTCTGTTGCTATAACAAAACACCTGAGATAATTAACTTATAAAGAGAAAAGGTTTATTTTGGCTTATGGTTTGGGAAGTTCTAGACCATGGTTGATTGGCCTATTGTTATGGGCCTGTGGTAAGGCAGTAGATTATAGTGGAAAAGCATGGTGGAGCAAAGCCAGTCACCTCATTGCCAGGGAGCAAAAGAGAAAAAGAAGGGATCTTGGGTACCACAGCTTCTCTTCAAGGGCCTGCTTCCAATCACTTAAAGACCTCCCTCTGGGCTCTACTTCTTAAAGATTCCACCATCTCTCAATAGCACCCTCTGAGGGAAAAATCTTCTAATACATGGTCTTTGGGGCATATTCAAGATCAAAACTACAGCACTGACATACATCATATCCAACACAGCTCTGCCAGAACAAGCCATATTCTAAATGTATAAGATGCATCATGCCAAGGAAAAAATAAGTATAAAATAGTAGCATATATACTTTTTCATCTTTGTCAGAGTTGATTGACACACAGGTACTTGCATTTCCTCCAGAAATCAGAACTCATACAATAATTATGTGCTTTTGGGAATGGGGACACTACAAAGGCAAGGAAACACAATTAATAGCAATCAGACTTTGGAAGCTGGAAGGTGGAAGGCTCGGAGTCACTGAGCTAGCAAACTAGAAAAGCTGAACTGCAAGCTCAGGACAGCATTGGGCATGCCAGAGAGCAACCTGGTTTACCCCCGACAAAAACTCCAAAGCTCAGGCATTGGTACCACTCGGGGCTTTGGGAAGAAGGATGAAGTGTGGCTGAATATAGGAAGATGTTTCGTCTATTCAGCAGCAAAGCAGCTGTCCCTCTCCTAACCTAGAAAAAGATGGGAAGGTTATTCCCTAGAAAAGATAGAACATCAGCCTCAGATACAAACTGAAGTGGTGGCTCTATAACGAAAAGGGTGCGATTAGGTGAAAGTT